AGCATGGCCCCTGGATTCTCTATCAGCCCAGAACTAAAACAATTTCCGAGGCCAACTCTTCAGACAGGGATTGGACTGGACTGTGGGACATAAAGTGAGGAGTGTGCCTCTTAGCTCAAGTAGATACACGAGACTAAATGGCCAGCTTCTGTCTGGAGGTGAGATGGGAAGGCAGAGAGGGTTAGGAGCTGGTTGAATGGACATGGGGAATCAGGGGTAGGAAAAAGGAGTATGCTGTCACAGTATGGGGAGAGCACTTAGGGTCACATGACAATGTATATATAAATTTTTGTATGGGAAAAAATAAAAATAAAAAAAAAGATATATAATTGATTACAGGATTGGTTTGGTCAGACAATGAGTTATCTTTTCCTGCTTAGCATATGAGCAAAAAAAAAAAAGTGTTTTATTTCTAGTAATATGGGTAAGATTATGATAAAATGAGCATTCTCCTATGCTGCTAGTGAGAATCTGAGAGTATAAACACTCTGGAAAATAATTTGACAAGAGCCTTAAAAATGTATACTGATCGAATGATTCTACTTTTAGGCTCTGTCCTCAAAAATGATCAAAGGTGAGAAAAAATATTTATTTAGCAAGAAGTTCAGTACAATTCTTCTGAAATATAAAAAAGCTGTGAACAACCTAAACATCCAACAAAAATTATGGCACAGATATATAACAAAATATTGCATAACAATTTTAAAAAATTTCAAATAATTTCAAGTGACAAGAGAAATACTCATGATAAAATAAGAAGTTTAAAAAACTAACCCACAAAAGTACATATAGTGCCTGGCTACCACTACCGATCATCCTAACCAGGGACCCAACAGAAGGGCCCGGTTAGAATGGGAGAAAATTTTAGAACAAGACTCAAATTCATAAAAAAAGACCAGAACTACTGGACTGATAGAGGAGGTCACCTTTCAGCCAAATAATAGATTTGCCTATAAAATAAACACTAATGCCCCTGAGGAATGTGCTCCTTAGAACTATCAACTGTACAAGACCAAACTGGCAACATTTACCCAAAAGCAAAGATGAGAAGGCAAGGAGGGGCAGGGGAACTGGAGGGATGCAAATGAGGAAGGCAGGGTAGAAATGGGGAGAGTGGTGACACATTGCAGGGATAGCAACCAATGTCACAGAACAATTTGTGTAGGATTTGTTGAATGGGAAACTAATTTGCTAGGTAAACTTTCACCTAAAACATAATAAAATGTTAAAAAAAAAAAACTACATATAGCATATGATCCCATGGGGCGATAGGGAAATAGAATATACCAAAATGTTAATAATAGCTAAGTTTGGGTAAGAAGATTATGTTTTTGTCATTATATAATTCTGTGTTTCAATAAAACACATGCATTGCGCTTATAATTAGGAGGAAAGAATGAGTTATAAAAAAAAAAAACTTAAGGTTTAGCCT